GTCCACAACTTAATATAAGTAAGCAATTATGTCTAAAAACAACTATGGAATTCACAAGCCTGGTGCAGCAAGCCCTTCCTCCGAGACAACACTTAAGGAATCTGCGGGTTACAACCCATGCAAAGAGAGACACTCTGCCCTACTGAGGCCAAGCCTCGTGCACAAGTCACAGAAACGCAAGCAGAGATTGTAGGAAATCAGTGGCTCGTCACAATGCAAGTATGCTATACAGGCATTTAGTGGTTACATCATGAATTTACATGTTTTTCTTTCTTTGCTCTCACCAGGTGACGCTAATCTGCATTAAAAAATTAGATTTTAAAGGCCTAGTCTCTATAGCCCCTTTCACACAGAGATTCCGGAAAATACACAGATAATGTGTTCCGTCATTTGTCCCTGGATCGTTTGATTTTGGTTCATTTACACTGCCAGTGATTTTCCAGAATCTGTGTGTGCGTTCACACACATCCCGTAAAGACACATGACATTATGATGTGATGTGTAATGTGACGCGTACCGCTTCACTAAGCTGGCAAACGATCTCAGCTTCAGCGCGGATAGTGAGGAGCTCCCTGATCTCTGCATCATACCAGTTTGCACATATTTTTTCGTCGCTAACGATGATCTGCCTTCAAAACAACCGGTAAAAGAGTGGTACGATATTGTGCGTCATCACTACAACACACCCTTTACGGCATTGGTTCTGGCTTTTGTTCACACAGGGCTCGCTCCGGGACTGATCCCTGCAATGTTACTAGGTCCCCAACCCGGGATCGATTCCGGAATCAATCCCGGGACGTGTTTGCGTTCACACAGAAGGCACTCCGGCAATTTTCCGGGACCAACGTGCATTGTGAAAGGGGTTTATTTTAATCTGAAATACTGCATTAATTGAAAAATAATTCAGAAAAATTTCAATGGGAAAAATATGAAAATATATTAATTAGTACCATAAAATTGTCTTAAAATGCAAAATGCAAAATAAACAAAATATTATTAAATAAAAATATACTCCCAAATGAGGAGCACACAAGGGTTAAAGGATTTTAAATGCACTTCGTGGAGGCAACGTCGCTCCGCTTCGCGTCGGGTGGTTCTTGGCCTCCACATCATGCATTTAAACTCCTTTAATGCACGGCAAGACGTTGATTATCCCTTACTTATTACACGGCTCTGTAGAATACTTGATTCTGATTGATCAGTCGCGACATTGCGAGGTATGTTATCCCTCGATAACAACCGGTAAAAGCTAATAACACAGGCTCATCCGGGTAACTGAAGTCGGCGTTATACTGCCAGAAACAGTTTTTTTCTTGGTGGAAGCTTTGCGTTTGTTTAGCTAATAAAATATTAAAACTTGATTCAAAATTGTGTACAATTATTTAATTATGTCATCCTGGTATCGTGGACTCGCTCTCTCGTTTCATACAAACGCAGCTGCTGCCATTTTGCTACTATTGTTTTGTACGCTGTAATGGATTATAAGATAACTTATACTTAACTTAAACATTTTCATCTTAAATCATTTATCGCCATAATTATTTATGTGGTGAAATGTTGTATAATAAGTGGTGTTGTGTATCCCTTAAATGTCCGTCTCGTTTGAACTTGCCGCTGTGAACTGCTGTTTTCACGGAAGCTTTGCATTCAAATATTTCAACTCAAATCATTATCTCGTGTCTAAGTATTTACTTATGTACCAAGTGGCCGTGTAATAAGCGGGATAATGTACATCCAGCTGGTTGTTATCGCTGAATAACCCCATTCAGGGTGATACAAGACCCCTCCGCTTCGGGTCGTGGTGCTGATCACCCTGTCGGGGGTTATTTTGTGATAACAACCGGCTGGATGTACATTATACTTATACTTATATATTATACATTTTACTTATTACACGGCTCTGTGGAATACTTGATACTGATTGGTCAGTCACGACATTCTGAGGTATGTATCCCTCGATGACAACCTATAAAAGCTGATAACACAGGCTCATCCGGGTAACTGGACGCTTCGCGTCGGGGTCCTGATCACCCTGTCAGGGGTTATTCTGTGCTAACAACCGGCTGGATGTACATTATCCCTTACATAATGCAAGTTTCCTATATAAGTTTAGGCAGCGGCTATTTGTAAATACTGATAGATGCTATTTACACTAAGAGCAAATAGCAATGGATGCTATTTACACTAAGTGCAAATAGTAATAGATTCTATTTACACTATGTAAAAATAGCAGTATTTTCTGCTATTTATACTACTTTTTTCAAATAGTGGCAAATATCTGCACCTCAGTATTGTAGTACATTATAAAACAGTATGCAATAATAACATACTGAGTGTAAATTATAATTTTTATTAAAAATCCTAAATGGATGCCGCCTTAATGGGACAATAAAGCCCTCCCTACACCTACCCCTAAGCCTATCCGATACTTTATTTTCAACTTTTCTATTATTTCCTTCATTTTTATAAGAAATAAATGCCTTTCCAATGTGATATGAGATCTGAAAAAGGAGAACAATGAGTTCGGCAAAAGGCGGATTCGAACTCAGGTCGAACGCATCAAACAAAATGCATTATGCACTTCACCATCTACACCACTGGAGCTTCTGTTTAGTAGCTGTCTTTTGTAATGTTGTCTAGCCCAACCACACGTTGTTGGGCGGAGTTAGTGTAAATAGCCTTTGCCAACAAGGGGGGCTATTTACACTTAGTGTAAATAGACACTCCGTTAAGGTTAAGGGTTAAGGGGGTTTATTCTTGTTTATTCTCCACGCTCAGTCATAACATTTCAGCCTACATACCCAGTGTCACATTGGTATCAGCACTTGTATGTCCATGGGAGGATCGGAGTTTGCAGATATAGCGTCCGATGTCATCTGATTTTGGGTGGACAATAGTTAGTACCAGCTGTTTGTTTGGCATGTATTGGCAATGGATGGAACCTTTCTTTGCTATCTTGCTTTCTGAGCATACTGTTTTATTTGATTCTTTAATCCAGCTCAGATGAGTAACCTGGAATTCACGGTCCTTTCCATCAGATAGAGAAACATTGCAGTGTAGAGTGATAGCCTGGTGGCAGTAGGAAATCACAGGTTTGGTAACTAGTACACTCACCATGCCTGTGAAAGAGAAAGACAGTAATTCAAATAGATAAAATAGTTTTCACCACTATCCTCTATAAATTCATCATTTTATTTTGTCTGTGGACACACTGGAGATAATAAAAGACAATAAGATAAAATACATCTGGGAGTTATTATTAACTTTCCTGGGTAATGATTCATACAAAATATAATGTCACTATGAAAGTTTGTTGTAACACAGTAAATAAACAAAAATACATGCAAATATTTGCATTCATTTTACACCTAAATAAAACGTATAACTGAAATACATAGTGACAAGCTAATACCAGCGGAATTAAGGTCTTTAGTGTTAGTTTAGTTTTTTTTAGCTTTAGGTCTTGCAAACTACTACATATCCAATTATGATGAGGAGGGATAACTCACCAATGAGAAGAATAACTCACCAACTACTGCTGAAACAGATGAGATGAAGAGAAGAACAGGAAATTGCATACTGAAGATATTTCAGCTTTAGTAGCATGAAAAAAAAAATAATTACATTGTTAACACTTTATAATAACTTTAATAAATCATTAACAAACAGTATATAATTTTTTATGGATCATTAGTTAATATATATTCAAAGAGATAGAAACGTGAGATAATGTGCTTGTTAATGTTTGCCAATAAACTTATTCAACATTAGACAACGTTCACACAAATCATTATTTAATGTAAGTTAAAATGCTTACAAATGTCATTAAACTTTCAATTCCATATGATCAAGCACTTATTGAAAATCTCCAAATGATTTTAGCAGATGTTATAAAATTATTAAAAGCTTGTGTTAATGCACAACACTTTTGCTGCTATTGAGGTGTGATACGGGTAAGTTTAGGGACAGGTTTGGTGGTATAGGTTTAAGGGTTGGTTAAAGGGTCAACAGTGTACAGGGGGTCAATTTGATTATAAGGGAACACAGTTTAATCTGTTTATATTATATTGTTTTGATAAGTGAACAAGTATTTTCTTTTAAAAATGATTTGTTTTCTCCTGTTTATTTATGATTCAAGGAATATCCTGTTTAATGATATACTGAAGAGTAGTAAGACTGTGAGTGTTGAGGCAATAAAAACATTTTTTTGCACCAAAATTACAATCTGTTATGTCTTTAGCAAGCATTTAACTAAACCTAACCAGCCACCCTTTACACAAACCTTGTTACGTTAGCTAAAAGTCCAATGCCCATAAAGATACTAAATGATTAGTAATCATTTATAAACATTTACAAATGATGAATAGTTTCAACTTTAGATTGGCTACAGCAAAAACACGAACAAATGATTAATAAATGCTTAGTAAAGGTGTGTGAATAGTGTAAATTCTGCTCTTTCGGGACACTTTTTGCCATTGAGATGACTGCTCATAAAGGTATTAATGATTAATAAACATTTATAAACATTTTCAAATGATGAATAGTTTCCACTTTAGGTTGGGTACTGCACAAACATGAACAAATAATTAATAGATTATTTGTTAAGATGTGTAAATAGAGGTCTACACAACAAAGACCAACAAATGGAAATCATATGAACTGAAAGTTTACAGACATTCGTAAGCATTTCAATTTACATGAAATAATCATATGTTAATCATTAGGTAATGATTAGTAAGTTCATTAGTAAAGAACAAGAACATTATCTCATATTTCTAGCTATGTGAATATATATTAACTAATGATCTGTTAAGCATTATATAATGTTTGTTAATAATTTGTAAATGAAAGTTATTATAAAGTGTTACTGTTAGTCATGAGTCATAAAAATGTATTTAGTTTAGTTTTTTTTTTTAGTTTAAGGTTTAACATGTCTTTTTAGATTCTTCATCAGTTACTCAAAGATTCTCATAATCAACAGATTCTGGGAGAGTGTATGAGGAAGCGTGTATTGACCACCAAGGTCAAATCTGGACAATGCTCAGGAAAGCTGGACAGTAGGCGAAAATTGGTTTGTGTCTTTCTGCTTCCTGTGTTTGTTTTTAAGCAGTGCTTTCCCGTTGTGAAGATCAAAAGATTAAACTGAATATGTTTCTGTCTATACAGTCACATTGTATGTCCAAAATTTCTGTGACAGATTGAGCTTTTCAAAAATATGGTTCTGTGTTCATACAGGGTTCAGACAATTATTTACCTGTCACTCACAAATTTATCTTTCATTGCATTGCCATGAACACATTAAAGGGATAGTTCAGCCAAAAATGAAAATGTTGTCATTAATTACTCACCCTCATGTTGTTCCAAACCCGTAAGACCTCCGTTCATCTTCGGAACACAAATTAAGCTATTTTTGATGGAATCTGAGAGCTGTCTGACCCTCCCATAGACAGCAAGGGTCCTCCTTACATGTTCAAGGCCCAGAAATATAGCAAGGACATCGGTAAAATAATCCATGTGACATCAGGGGTTCATCCGTAATTTTACAAAGCTACGAGAACACTTTTTATGCGCAAAAGAAAAAAAAATAACGACTTTATTCAATTCGTCTCCTCCGTGTCACCTTAGCGCCATTTTGGAGAGTATCCACTGAACGTAAATTGCGTATGCTGTTTTGTGTCAGCTGCGCCATGCGGATACGTTGTTTTCATTCAAATCAAAGCGTAAACGACGTAAACAGCGTATCCAGAGAGCTCTCAGATTCCATCAAAAATATCTTAATTTGTGTTCCAAAGATGAACGGAGGTCTTACGGTTTTAGAACGACATGAGGGTGAGTAAATAATGACAGAATTTTCATTTTGGGGTGAACTATCCCTTTAAATATATTTATTTTTAGAGCCACTGAGTTCAGAACCACAGTAACACCTATGAAGAAAAAAAAACTGTTTCATGCAATTTATCACAGCCATGAAAAACTACTTCTGGTAGTCATTGCCTTTATACTTTGTATAATGGTGCTAGTGTGATGCTGTTATATATCCCTTGTGCTGTCTTGTGCTGGACTTTTATGTTGATGATTCCTGGTTGCCATATTTGTAGTCCTTTGTAGTTTTTCATGGTGATTAGTCCACAGATCACCCCAGAGCCCAAGCCAACCACATCTGACCAGGTGTGTGAGCCAGCAACATCACTTGTGCCAGTTGGAGTATGCGGGGATGTCGTGGAGCCCAACCCACTCAACAACGGCTGATGATGAAGTGCTAATTGATTGGGAGAGTGAGTGTTTTCTGTCTATGTCATTTCCTTGCACCATGTCTGTTTCTCCCAGCACTACACTGCTAGCGTCTGTGTTTCTGCCCTGCCCTGAATCTCCTGTGTCTCCGCTGCTTCTGTCCAGTCCTGAATCTCCTGTGTCTCCACTGGCTCCGTCCAGCCCTAAATCTCCTGTGTCTCCGCTGGTTCCGCCCAGCACCAAGTCTCTGTCATCGTTGATTCTTCCGTCCAGCCTCCCTCTCTTGCCTCCTCTTCCAAAACCACCAAGTCTTTTGACTTTGCTTCCAATGGTTCCCTCTAGCTCCCCGGCTCTTCCTCTATGTTCTCCACTTTGCAGTGTGGATGAGTATCAGGGCCCATATTTATCAAGTTATCTCTGAGAATTACTCTCAAGAACGCTGCTAAGAATTGACTTAAGTGTAAAAAAGTTCTTGGCTCAAAGCTGCGCTTAAACGTTATTTATCAAGCATCTCAGTTGTAATTTAAGTGAAGTGTAGGACTAAATCTTAAGTGTCAGTCTTACCCTGCATTCATCACCCCTAATCCCTTCAAAGGGTTTACCCTCAGGAGTGAGAGCTTCGAAGGGTTGAAGGGTGTAGGGGACCAAACAACTCTACTACTTATTGCACTACTGTGTTATGCCAAGTGCTCAGTGTTTTTCAACTGGTGTGTCACAGAGTGTGCAGTCAAAGAAACAACAACAAACATGAAATGTTTTTCTGATGTGAGACTTTTATTTTGAAAGATGGGCGTGAAAGGTCATGACACTTCTGGCAGATGTGCCAGAGAAAAACAAGTTGTCCCGATTCAGTATCTGCGGTCAGATAAGATGTTGTCAGGCTATATGTCAGTGTCCTTATCCTAACGTTATTTTCATAACTTATGAAATAAAAAAGTCTCTATCACCTCAGAAAAACAAACTTTCTTTTCCTGTCAGCTGTTACACTGTGCTCATTGCGCACACTGTACAATTGCATGTGCTAATGCGGCAGTGAGCACTGTATATCACTTCATTATAAATAAAGCGCAAAAGAAAGTATGAGCATGCAACATCATAGTTATGTTGGTAAATAATGAAATTACCAAAAAGTACCAATAAAATACGCAAATTGGTACTACCTGGGAAGGATTTGCATGCAGATATAATATCCATTCTGTTAACCAGGAGCAGTTTCCATATGTTTCATTAACAGTTCATGTTAGTATTGTGTATTTACCATGTGTAGGATTTGCCATGAACCAGAGCCCACCGAATGGACACAACACCAAATGAACACGCCCTAAGATCAAGGAGACTCCCCACTAAGTCAGTTATAAGTCATAAAAACTAATCAGAGGTGCCTGATCGTCAACTGTCTTCTCTTTTATCTGCTCATTCTCAACTGGGGACTGCAACAATGAAAATTTATCAAAGTAGAAGACCCTCCATTGTTCCCAAAACATAATCCTTCTGTGGAACCAAATGGCCAAGCAACACTTCGTGACAATCACGCATAAACTGTATGGCCATAACAGGAAAGAGGAGACACGTGATAGTGGTCCCAACACCAGAATTAACATGAGAAAACCCTTGTGACACTTGCTTGCTCCCAGGACATATTCCCTTACCCCCTTTTGAGCATTATAAGACATCTTCCATTATCTCAAGAACGACCTTAGTTGAACTCACTCTTATGACTTGTATATGCAACTGTCTTTAAAGGGGTCATATGACGTTGCTAAAAAATAATATTATTTTCTTTATTTGGTGTAATGCAATGTGTTTATGCGGTTTAAGGTTCAAAAAACGTCTCGGTTACGTATGGTAACCCTCGTTCCCTGAAGGAGGGAACGGAGACGTCACGTCGGATGACCGACGAATTGGGATCTCGCTTAGAGAGACCAATCTACTTCGAGTGTAAA